CAGAAAAGATGTATCACAGCTGAAGGGGGCTGGGTGGGCCTTATTTCCTTTGGTAATGCTGAATTAACTGTGTGCTGTGTACCTGCATTTTGGCTGTCAGGATAAGTGTGGAATTTTCTACTTGCAGCATCATGCCAGCACTCAGAAATGTTCAGATTTTGGAGCATTTTGGATTTTAGATTTTTGGATTAATGGTCATCATGAATACCCAAGAATAGTTTATAGGTGCAGAAACTCACAGCATGCCTTGTCTCAATTCCACCCCTCCCTTTTTTTTTTTGGAGACAGAGTCTTGCTTTGTCACCCTGGCTGAAGTACAGTGGTGTCACCATAGCTCAACCTCAAACTCCTGGGCTCACGCCATCCTCCTGCCTCACCCTAGCCTCCCAAGTAGCTGGGGCTACAGGCGCACGCCACCATGCTCAGCTAATTTTTCTATTTTTTGTAGAGATGGGGTCTTGCTTTTTGCTCAGGCTGGCCTCGAACTCCTGAGCTCTTGCCTTGGCCTCCCAGAGTGCTAGGATTACAGGCATGAGCCACGGCGCCCTGCTGACTCCACACTTTTTGTAGAGCATCTTTGGGACTAATATTCTAATGAACACATTGGAAAAACTGATTTAGGGTGACTCCTCTTTTAAGAAATGTTAGCAGATAGTGATTCTTACTTCAAGAATCTTATTCCTTTTCTATTTTGTAAGAACATTGAAAAATGTAAAGCCTCTGTTTAGTTCTTTGTGCAATCATACATACATACTATGGGACTAGGAATATTGGAAATAATTTTGGGGAATTAACCTTTTGTAGTCAGCCCAGCAAATAAGGTTGGTTACCTTGCTCTTGCTAAGAGTAGAAGCAGAAACATTATCTTGGGAGAAATGTAGTCTCTTATAATCCAGAGCGTTCACAAGGTTGCCAACTCCTCTACTCTCTGCCCAGACAAGGATAGGAGTCTGGTGCTTAAGTGCCTGTACTTTTCCACTTTTCATTGTTGGTTTGAGGATGCTGCTCAGGAGACTGGATCCTAAAGGATAGCTTGGGTAGTAGGATCTCTGGATTTTCCTAGACAAATTCGATATAGTTTAGGTAATGCTGCTGATCTAGTTACTTAACTGATCAATTAACATTTTAGTTTTCTTTTTTTCTTCCAGATGTTTTCCGTGAAGTGGAAATGCCCTCTCAGTACTGCTTGGCCTTGCTAGAACTAAATGGAATCGGCTTTAGTACTGCAGAGTGTGAAAGTCAGAAACACGTAATGCAAGCCAAGCTGGATGCAATTGAGACCCAGGCCTATCAACTAGCCGGCCACAGTTTTTCTTTCACCAGTTCAGAGGACATTGCTAAGGTTGTATCATGGGAATAGGGAATTCAGAAAAGTAATTTTTAGAGTTAAAATGATTTGTGTGTGTGTTTATTTTCTAAATATGTTCACCTAAACACCAAAGATCAGTAAAATAAAAACAATCAGTTAATCAGAAAGCTTTTAGGAATAGAATATTCTACCATCTAATTTATTTATATATTTTTGAAATGGGAAGGTAGTAGGTAGTAAAGAAGGCTCCTAGCATGTAAGCTGTACGAGAGGGTGATTTGCCAGGAACAGAGGAAGCACTCACTAAATGTTTATTGAACAAATGATTGGTAGTGGTAGTTGCATGACAGTGTAGCTGTTTCTCCATGAAGTTAGTCATGTCATGATCCCTCACCCCTTCTGTTGCCCCAATAAATATCCAGGAAACTGGATATTTTTCTGAGACATATATGAAAAAAGGATTTTTGTGACTGTTTGCTTTTAAAAATGTAATTAACATTTTTTTCACCTTACATATATTTTGACAAAGTTTACTCATGTTGCATTTTCACAGGTTGGTGTTCTTTTCTCTTCTCTTACCACACTCTGTCCCAACAAAGGGTGGTTGGGTTGTTTTAGAGCGGTTACAAACACGGGCTGGGTGCTTATACTTGCTAACATTGAAGTTCCTGTGTCTTCTAGATGCCATTCAGTAATATTGCACATTGGTAAAGATCATAGACTTTAGAGCCAGACTTCTTGGGTTTGAGTCTTACCTCCTCCATTTATTAACTAGCTGTATGACCTTGGGCCAGCACATCAACTCTCTATGTCTCAATTTCTTCATCAGTAAAAAGGGGGTTATGATAAAAATACCTCATAGGGTTGTTGTGAAGCATAAATGATAAGTGTAAAACACTTATATTAATAATAGAGGCCATCACATGTTAATTGCTCAAAAAATGTTATATCTCCTTAAAAATACCTTTTTAAAGCCACAGAATTAACATATTGCATATTTTAAAGAAAATAAAAAACGTAGTTTCTCTTAGTCATATACTACACTTGTATTGAATTCAGTGCTGCCTTTTGGATTTTTTTGTGTGTCTTCTT